CAGCTGTACCAAGCACAAGTCCGATCGTGCATGGAGTACTGCTGCCACCTTTGGGATGGCTCTGCGACATATCAACTGGCCACTTTGGATTCAATTGACAACCGTGCCAAGAGGCTTATAGGTGACTCGGAATTAGTGGAGGCGAAGCTGCAGAGCCTTGAACACCGCCGTAAAGTTGCCTGCTTATCGGTATTTTACAGGATATATCACGGAGAGTGTGCGATGGAATTACATGATTTAATTCCGCCTTCCCCTTTCCATCACCGGGGGACTAGGCGTAGGCTTGGGTTCCACCCCTATGTTGTGGATATTCCAAAGATTCGCACGAAGCGTTACGCTTCCACATTTATATGGCGAACGGCTATGGAGTGGAATTCCCTGCCTGCAGACTTGTTCCCTGAACGTTATAACTTGGACCTTTTCAAGGCGAGAGTGAATAGGCATTATTTAGGTGTGCATGCTCCATCGTCGACCTCATCGTCACTTTCCATCAGGTGAGATGGAGGTCAAATGCGCACCTATATTTTATAAAAAAAAAAAAAAAAAAAAAACTTCCCTGGACGAACTCTTTCACAAGGAGCTCTACTGCTACTAAACAATAATAAATAAAATAAAAATCTCCCTCGCAATATTGTAGATACGTAGTGTCATTTCACTTTATGTGTTTCTAAGCGCAGTATTACTAGAATATAGGAGTACCCTTTTGAATGAATACTAATTTTCATAACGTCCTAATTTGTTATAATTATTACAACGAGTACAAAGATCGAACACTAAGAAAAATTCCTTCGATCCGGCTGGACTCGAACCTGCGCCTTCAGCACATTGCCGGATCGGATAACTGCCTCGGTTACCGAACGGTTACCATACTGGACTGCCATGCTGAAGTCCCAGGTTCGACTCCCGGGCCCGGAGAAATATTTGTATGGCCTATATTAATTTCTCTCGTGAGTTTGGGTGTCCAAAAAATAAGTAGTTTGTGGTTGTCTATGTGAATGTACATATTACATTACCTTTACAAGAGTTTAGTTATGATGTGAATATCTTTTACAATATTGGTAAAAAAATATACATTTTATTACGTAATAATAAATATTATACATAAAGGATATATTATAATACCTACATAAATAATACACACATAATACATACGTATCGATCTGTTATCTCGAGTTCGACTATACAGGGTGTAATCATTAAGTGTGCCCAGGTGAGTATTATATAAGAGATATCAAAAACCTTTAAATTGATATTGAATGTTTGGCTTTTTGTAGTAATTAGTGTTTAACGGTGTTGATGACACAATAATTACACATTTAGTGCAAAAAAATTAGTTACAGGTAAATTTTAATTGTCTACTGTTTGTTGACCCAAACAAATAAAAAAAAAAGATTACAATTTTACAATTTATATGTGGGTGATCCTAATAGGAAGCATAGACTGCCGTCGATGTGAGGCGTATTTATTCTTGTTTTTAAAATAAAATATATTCTTTAACCATATTTATGAAATGAGTAGAAAATTACATCTATATCCATTAATATTGCGTGGGTTTTCTCCTCATGTTTATTTCTCTTTGCCCAAACAAGAAATATAACTTAATAAAGAAGCTCATTAGATTCTAGAATAAACGTCAGACATACTTCGAAAAGGTCTTCATTTATCTTTCAGTCTGGAGCAGATTTAGAGACGGCCTATGTTAGGGTCCAATACGTACACACTCCTATTTCCACTTAGCTAATTTTCGAGAACATTCTTGAGGTCTGTGGTTAACGTTCTTGAGGTTCGTGTAATACGTAATTGAAGTACCTTACTATCTAGGTGAAGGTACTCTACTAAGATTTTTTCACCCGTTTTATTCTTTGGACCACTTCGTTGGCCCACTGGTTTGCATTGTTGAACCTAGGAGGTCGCAGGTTCAATTAAGGACAAATTTGGAAAATGAACTTTTCTTAGTTGGTTCTGGTCTGAGTGTTCTGGATAGTACCCAGGAGTTATTTCGTTGTTCTGGTACTCATAGTACGAAATGCCCAAGTCTGAAACCAGGCAATTGGTGTTGTTGTCTGACACAAAAAAAAAAGATTAGGAGAACAAATAAAAGTTAAAAGCAACGAGAAATTTGTAACCAGCTATAATAAAGAAAGCATTAAAGTTCGACGCTCTGCATTAGTAGAAATATTTCTTGCTTAATCTTATCTTTAATACTATCTCTTATTAAACAGGCCACGTTCCTTTATTAATACTGTACTTGGCGAGAAATTAACTTGTGAAAAAAAACTAAATTACTATATAATTTGACGTAGCCATTTCCGCTGTAAATATACTAACAAAAAAAACATGAAAATTCAATCCATTCGTCGGAAACAAAAAACATTTGCAAAATTTAAATTTCAAAACGGAACGTATTTTTGCCAGTAATTTGTTGATTGGACGCGGAATGTTTGACGCGAGCTGGAGGCACAAGTGACCTGAATATTTACATCAAAATTACTAAACAATACAATTCGTTTTCGGCATATCACATGTTGCCATTAATTCCGGACCTGGTAGCAATACAGCTCCTTGTGAAGGAGTTTACCCAGCGAAATACTGACATTTTACCTATTTATGTTATATGAGCGTTATTGTATTCCAGTTTTAAAGAGTAAAGGGTGTTGTTGAAATTACAGGCACATCTCAGAGTGACAACAGCAATGCCCCTCTGAGTGGCACTGCAACCGTTATAGACAGGCGTGTCGCTTAACAGCAGGCACACAACTTGTTCGTCCCCTGACTTGGTATCATAAAACAACACCTTCTCAAGGGAAATTCCTCTGTCGTATAATAAGTATAACATTTTTAAATAACATCCCGTATTTATAGTTCTTAATATGAACAGTACATTTCTTGTAGTTTATTATGAAGAAAAGACACATTTCTTATTTCAATGTCAAAGCAAAAAAAATGCGAAACAAATTAGAAACCGAGACATAGTTAACGTATCTAGCGGCGCGCGTCAAAGACGGTTTGGATGACAAGCGTTAAGACGCGTTGTTAAAACGCGCTGACAACTATAGGCCTTATTCTGAGTGGCGGAGGGCGTGGGTGAGTGTAATTTAAATTAATATACGTAGACGCTCCTTACGTTCACAGTGGCTACGCGCGCCGGCGCCTGCCTTGAGGCGGGCGCGGGCGTGGATAGATCTATTGGCTCGGTCCGCCCGTACCTTTCATAGTGCTTGGTCGAGCATCTGTTAGCGATTTCGACGAGTGGATTTACCCACTCGCAGCTGCTTCGGCACTGTGAAAGGGACGACAACATTATCCGCGCCCCCGCACCCGCCGCCATGGCCGCGCCTGCACTCTGAATGAGCCCATAGTCTGTTTTCAAGACAGAGTAAAATGTCACTTCATTATACATACATGTTGCTCGCTTGCAAGCAGCTAGTGATTGCAGTTGATAAATACATATTCTATCGACTATCGACTGACTACTCATTATGATTGCTTAATGTTCCAATAGATGTAAACTCTATCCAGGGTCACATTAAAATATATTTATGATAAAATAAAACGCTGACAATATTCCTTTACGCAACCACATGAAAATCAAAACAAAGGTATCTAAGGTACAAACACCCATATGAGAACCGTCTAAAATTCTTTAAAATGCTATCATTATGTAAAAGACGTAAGTTACTTGATCTTTGTTTCCTACATATACTATTTAATGGTCAAATAGATTGTAAACAAATCATTGATGACGTGGATCTCGTTGTTCCAAGTCGTCTACCAAGATATAAAAAAAAATTCCATATTCCTCATTGTAGAACTGACCTCGATCTAAACTCCTCAATTTTACACTTATGCAGAGAGTATGATGCAATTAATAGTGGTTTTATTGAAATAGATATTTTAATGACACATATAACCGATTCAAACAAAAAAACGCTGAATTTCAGCGATTTTATTTTTGTGTTGCAAGGATAAAAAGTCTCACTGTCGTATTTTTCCAAATTCACATTTATTTATAATTTTTATTGTGTACATGGCAACTCACGTGTTATGTTGAGAGGATTGTATTTTGCTTTTTTTTCTTTGTTTCTGTTCCTTACTTGTTAGTCTGATGTCATAATTAAGAATGCTGAGTTTCCCTGTTACTGGGATATATACACTAAGATAGATATTAAATTTTATTTTGTATTGAATGTTGTACATGTTCTGTTGGGATACCAAATAAATAAATACTTACCCCAAAATATCAGTTAGGAAAGTCGGTTCGGATGTTTCCTTCAAATTCAATACTACACAAAGAGGATAAATAAGGACGAATAGTTATTTCGTATAAGGATTGTAGATGTTTCCATTGCTACTCGCACTTATTGTCGTTTTAAAGCCGTAATTTTTTCTGTGATGATAGAATCTATAAATAGGGCGAAAATTTGCATTAGAATAAGACCGTGCATCTGAACTTCACGAACTGGTTTCAATAATAATGAATCATTACAATGTTATAAAATTCATATATTTTTTTTTGCTAAATTTTAAGTTCTTTCACGTCAATAAAACTATCGACAACAACCACATGACTATTTAAAATATTACAAGAACTGGAAACTGCAAACGTCATTTTTAAAAACCGACTGTAAACGAATTTTATTCATAAGTAGCCATAAGCGTTCACAATCGCTCGTTTTACGCTTGTCATCTGAACCGGCCCATAATAGTAAGACCCCATTCAGCTTATACTGTCGAGCCCTATACTTACCATGAGACCGTAAAATGCAACCAATTTGCAAAATTACGTAAATCTTGAACTAAAGACGAGAACATGTATAGAACACGTTGTGACCCTATAAAAGTCGACGCGTGTTGATTCAGAACATACTATTTCGAATTTTGAAAATACACGTTCACTGGCGCCACTATGTGGATGATCTGGTGATTCTATTCTACAGGGGATATTCACGGGTTTTTCGTTTATTGTTGATGATTATGTTAATATATTGTACTTGTTTTAGGGTCAAATCGGAGACCCAGGTCCAGCTGGTCCTCCAGGGCCAAAAGGAGACCGAGGGGAGAGAGGCGAAACGGGGTCACAAGGAGTAGAAGGACAACCAGGACCGAAAGGTGAACCAGGGCTTGACGGTATCGTTGGACCACAAGGACCCCCTGGTCCACCTGGGCCACCTGGTCCTGCGACTTCTGCACTTATGGTAATTATCAAAATGTGAAATAAAACATCTTTTGATGTAAAATAATAATTATATGTGTATTACTTCACTATTGAGCTGTATTTAATTTTGGCCCTCGAAATAGATTGTATATTGTTTAAGTACTGAACAATATGTACCAAAAATATTAAAGAATAATAAGTATTTTTACCTTTTTCACCGTGACCCATTTTTTGTTACCAATCTTGATGTAAAATCTTATTATCTAAACTAACAAAACCGAATAATTTTATAAGCAATCTTGCAACATCTGAAATCAAAACATCTAGAGTCCCTTTTGTTATTGTTCTACATGTCCCTTCATAATTTTCCCATCATCGCAGGAATCAACGGGATTGTACGGGTCCGGTAATCCTGTGTCTAGGCCTTCGGGGGAAAGAGGTCCTATGGGCCTCCCCGGCCCTCAGGGCGAGAGGGGTTATCCAGGGAACAAGGGGGAAAGAGGATTACATGGCCCCAAAGGCGACAAAGGCGAACGGGTAAGTTTAAACTGAATACGATTAAGCTACTGAAATTTTCAATAGAAACTACAATTTAGTCAGTGGCATGCTGTTCTTTACACTTTAGATTTCCAACCATCTTATTGCAAGTGGCATTGAGTTGAATTTAAATCTTTGTGCGTCTATTTCAAATACAGTTTCAATAATGATGTAAGGCTACAAGGTAATTCATTGCATGTTACCTGAGAGTTTCAGTTTTATGTTTTATACCTTTCCCGAAAAGTTGTGCTTTCTAAAATGTTACCGTCTTGGCGAAAAAGTTTGTTTTTAACACTTTTACAAGGTCAGATAAAAGGTTTAGAGTTTTTAATATTTATTTATGTAATAATTTGTTGTACAGGAAAACACAAATCACGTTTACTAAAACGGAAAACACAAACAAAAGGTTCTGTATTTCCAAAAGAAATTTCTTCCTGCAGACCAAAATACAGGACAAAATAATTACAATAACTGGTTTACGTACATAACAAGACAAAATTAAATTATGTAATGAAATAATATTAAAAAACAATAACAAAAATATTAAATTACTACAGACTATATAAATACTTAGATAAATGCATATTTCCTATTATAATATCTATAAAATAGATGGAACAGTGGATAAATAGTGATCCTTGACTCTCATTTTAAAGATAGCTAAGGATTTACTATTATGAACAGTAATGGGAAGTGCGTTCCAACGTCTGACCGCATGAACAGCACAGGAGTGAAAATAAAAACCTGAATTAAATGATGGAAAAATAAACTGGGACCTAACGATAGAACGACAGGGCTTATCCTGGGACCTGAGAAAGCTGAAACGCTCTTTCAGATACCTGGGAGACAAAGAATTATGTACAATGTTGTAAAGAACAGAGACCACTTGCAAATTCCTACGCAGTTTCTTAATGCTTGAAATTAAAATATGAATACTGAAGAATATAAATTAATGACTAAAGAACTAAGCAATGGTCTGGCGAAAGTTAGGGTTATAACAAACTCATTTGCAATGAGTTACTTACCGCCCTAGTAAAATAAAGTAGTATAATAGTCCACTACACTCTATTGCTTACATTTTAGATTTAAAGGTACTGATACATAGAACTACATATTCTTTGAACTCGACAATAGTTGAAAATCGATGTTTTTTTTTGCAAAACAGACACTGAATTTGTTATTGTTTTGATATTTGTTGTACTGGGAAACTAATTTGTTGAAGAATGCCTGAAAATGGTATAGAAGAATTTATATTGAAAAAGAGATGAATGAAAAAACGTGACGTGCGGTGGTATGCAGGAAAAGGATTATATGAACTAAAAAGCATTGTATGTATCTTGTGGTGCTTTATTATTATTAAAAACATCTGGGAAATAACAACTAATTGTACAGTGTACCTTCCTTGATTTGAAGAAGGCTTACGATCGAGTGGTGAGGATTGAAATGTGGTCATTTTTGTCAGCTTTGAGTTTGCGAGCGAGGATTTAAGGGCATGTGCTAGGATAAACGGGGCATGCACTGATTGGTTCGGAATCTCTCGGGGTGTCCGAGAGGAATGTGCAGCGTCACTGTGCTCTTCAATGTATTCAGTGATGGAGGTTAGAGAATGAGTGAATACTCATTAATTCTTTTGTACATCAATGATCATGTACGACTTGCATCGTATGCTAAAGAATTGCATATGATAGATATAACGCGTGACAGTGAATGTAGATAGAATCAAAGTAATAGTTTTTTAAAGAAATAATAGTATGATAGAGTGCGTAATAGAAATTCATGGACTGAAAGTTGAACAAATAAAAGAGTATACATACTTCGGATTTTATTAAAATGGTAAACGTGAAGAAGACATTCAAATAATATTGAAAAAAAGAAAAGTAATGAACTGGGTCATAAATGGATTATGTGCAATCAGTTCGTATTTGAGAAATATGAAAGGCAATTCATAACGTTATTTTGGTACCAACACTAACGTATGCGAGTATTCGTGGATATAATAGTATAGTGTGAATGCAGTAGAAATAAGCTGAGAAAAATATGAAAGGTACGGATAACCGTACGTGACAGAGTGAGAATACCTGAACGGTTTTTCGATTTCGCGCCCAAGTAGGTCGCTGCAGAGGCAAGATGTGTTAATGGGCGCTCAGGGATGGTAGTCTAACCCGATGTGACTGTGGTGTCCCAACACATTCCATGCAGCACTTACCTGTGTGCTTCTCGTGCCTTAATACCTGTACGAGGGAAGATCTCTACGGATAGCGTAGTCAAGATGGCACCATACTATTCAAAGTCTATATAGTCTTGATAAAATAAGCATAAAAATGATAAGAAGAAGAAATTAGAACAGATAGAATGGAAAAAAAAACGGTTGAAGGAGACGTAGTGACAAAAACTCATAGAGTAAATTATGTTGGGATGGTTGAGACACATGGAGCGGATGAATGAAAGTAGGATGGCGAAAAAGATATATGAAGCCAACTTGGAAGGCAACATTGAACGAGAATGACCACGAGAGACGCAGTCGGGTGGAATCGAGAATGTTCTTAAAAATACTGGAGTGCGCTCTAGGAGGGCTTATACGAAAAGATTGACGAAGTTAGTGAAATAAGAGGATTGCGCAAATTGATAGCCTCTGCATACTCCAATAGAAATACAAAATCATGAGTATATGTACATACACTCATGTAATAATTTGTACACTATACTTGTACCGTAGTCACAAAAAGTAAAATAACATAATCTCAGTACAGATTACTAAAAAAACCGACCTCAAAAGTACGTGGAATTACATCTATTTGCTAAGTTTCATTGAAATATCCCCTAGTTCGCCACTATACAGGACTTGATACTGGAGCTAATAAAAATAGGTTCTCACTACGATACTACTCAAAGTATATCGAGAGAAAAACGCCTTGAATTGGAGAAATAGCAAAATCAACTAAATATTTGCTAAAAGTAATTGCTCCTAAATTAAAGTCAGGCGCTATTTATAAAAATGAATCTTCATGCGTGAACAGCCACCCTTCGAAGTGGATGATTTTCTTCAAAATGAAATGGAACCACTATGGAAGTACCCCCTTTCCGGCAAAAAAAGAATCGTAAAAATCGGTTCACAAATACCGGAGTTATCGCGTAACATACATACAAAAAAAAGAACATACAGTCGAATTGAGAACCTCCTCCTTTTTTAAAGTCGGTTAAAAAAATACGATTCTATGTCTAGTTGCGTTAAACAAATAAAATATCAATTTTCAAAGACATATCCAACAAAGTAATAGAATATTGTATATTATAATATATAAAAAGAAGTTTTATAAGAATTCTTCAAAGATTTTCTTGTAATAATTTTTAAATATTTACCTAAAAAAAGTCTTTATACGCACTCTTTGAAGATAGAATTTTATTAAGCGGTCGCTGTTCAAAAGATGGTAAATATTTATCTATGTTCAAGACCTTGACTTTTCCTTACACGTGTCAAGGACAATCATGGAGTCGTATCGAGTGGTAACATAGCGCTTTATTCAATATTTGATTGTCAATATAAACAAAACAAAACCCTTGGAAATTTATACCGTTTGAGTTTCTTTTAAAAACAATAAATGTATCAAGTACCTATCCAGCTTGCACTACTTTCGCCTTAGAGAAACTATTAGAATTTTAATATTAAAATTTCATAAAACATGTTCCGTGTTCGGATTTTTGTACACAAATATCCTTTGTCTATCTTCATTGACAAAAAAGTCTTGAGTAAACTTCATAATATCTCAATTTGTACACGTGAAAGTGAGTTTCTAGTTTCACAACATGACTTTCTTTATCTTTCAATCGATGTATCCTTGAAAAATAATAATACAGCAAGTGCTCCATTGAAATCGTATAAATTAACGGATTATAATATTTTCGAGAAAACAGAAATACCAGAATATATAGGTTGATATGTAGCTACGAAATTATACTTGAGGACTTTTTACCATATTATATTCTATTTATCTAAGAATTATTGTTGATTACAAAAACGTTTACTAATAATTATTTGGTATAAAGTTACTAGTTAATCAATTTTAAAATTGTTGAAAAAAAATGAAATAAACGGCGGACATAGTCTGCATCGAATTAAGAGACGAAAGTGACATTTGTGAAATTGCGTCATTTCATCCAAATTTCAACAAAAAATACTTGCGTATGTATTTGGAAAATGCACGAATTACCGCTTTAAATAAATCAAACAAGGAATCACATCGTAATTTAGCAAAAATATTAACATTATTACTATAATTTAATTATTTTTCTGTCTATTCTACTAATCAGTTGTTAATTGAAGATATAGAGGTAATAAAATATTCCTGTAGCGAATGTAATAAGGACGCATGCACTCCGGTCATAGATTATAAGTGCAGCTACGAACATGGTAGGCAGTAAAGTCATCAATAACCTGTTTGCACATTTCCGTTGTTTTTTGTTATTAAACAAACATGAAAAATATTAGAAGTAAGTACTTGTACATAATAAGATTTTACTTGACTTATAAATATTTTTCATGTTTAATAACAAAAAACATTTGTTTTCTTTTTCCATTGTGTTTTACTTCTTACCTACTTTTCGAAACTTTCATTCTGTTCACAAAATCATAATCTATACCCCGGCAGTCTATTTGACTTGCGACGTTCTTTATACATAACATAATATCTTGTGTCATGGCATTGCTTTATTTCTTAAAATTTGATTTTTTTTTATTTTTCTTATTATTACAAATAGAGTTTCTTCTACAGAGGGATAGACAGTGCTAATAGCATTATAGCTGCTGTAGCTTGCAATTGCGACTTATTCGTACTAAGACATTGGATTTGGTTATTTAATGTTTAACCGACTTCAAAAAAAGGAGGAGGTTCTCAATTCGACAGTTTTTTTTTGTATGTATGTTACGCGATAACTCTGGTATTTGTGAACCAATTTTCATGATTCTTTTTTTATTGGAAAGAGGGTACCTCCATAGTAGTCCCATTTAATTTTGAAGTAAATCATCCATCTCTAAGGGTGGCTATTCACGCATGAGGATCATTTTTATAAATAGCGCTTAAATTTTAGTATAATGAGCAATTATTTTAATGGTTGATTTTACTATTTTTTAATTCAAGGCGTTTTTCTCTCAATATACTTTGAGTAGTGAGAAACGATTTTTATTATCTCCTGTGTCAAGTCCCGTATAGTGGCGAACTAGGGGATGCATCCGGGTTTGCGCACTTTCCGGTAACCGATTTCAATAAAACTTGGTAATTATATGTAATTCCACGTACTTTTCAGGTCTGTTTTTTTAGTACTCTGTACTGAGATTATTAAGTTTTAAATTTTGTCACTTAATGGACATATCCTTCATTTTTTTTAAAGCACAAACTCCCGCCCACACACTCCACATAACCCCGCTCGTGGGAACCCCTGAGTTGCGGGTGCTATGGACACACACTTAGACAACCACAAATACACCAAAACTTTCGAGAGAAATAAATGTGAGGTGTGATAGAAATATTTTTCCCGACCTGGAATCGAACCTCTGCGTAACAGACCAGCATGGGAACCGCTCGGCCACAGAGGCAGTTCGTTATGATTATATTTAAAATGCTTACTATCACCAAGGTACTGCGAGAAGGATTGTTTCTCAATTGAGTTTGGATTCCTGTAGCTGCATGTACCCTGTGACTTCAATTCCTAGTAACCTATCCGTCTCGCTAACGCAACGGTAAAGGAAAACATTGCGATGAAACGAGTGAAGTACCAACCTTTATTTGGCCAGTGTGGCCAACTAAGGCCTAAATCCTCCTTTTATAGGATACCTCTGCCCAGTGGGACATATTTAGGATTAAAGATAATGAATTAGCTTTTAAATATTTTTTAATTTTCATCTCGTTTAAACAGTTAATAATTCGCTTTCAAACAACCACATAATTAATTAATTTGTTTATCTGAAACACTAGGTGCCTCTTAGAAAGGTAAATTGCGGAGGCTCTCACAAGAGCTTTCCCTACTCGAAACTGAATATAAACTATGCAAAGTAGGGACACAAATTTAAGCCCCTTTTGCAAGTTAAATAAATACAAGTAAGCTGGTAGCGTGTTGGTATCGTTCCCATCACGGAAACTCGGTTTTAGAAACATTGTAACAGAAAAGAACGATGTAAACCAATTCAGGCCATGTTGTTTAGGTTATACTCAATGGAAAAGAATAAATATGGCGGAAACAAAAATAATACACAAGTTCTACGTTCAAAAAGACGTTTCATTTTAATACAGTAAGTTGTGTCTTCTTCTCACTTTATTTTGTGAGTACAATAGGACAAAAGAGTGAGCCGTCTCAGTAACACACGTGCCATCTTTATAGTGCGCCATTTTCACGTTATGGAAACGTTATGGTTAGTGTCAATTATATCGCGTAAAACCTCGAAAATCGTAGAAAAATGTCTCGTTTTGCTTCTTTGGAGTGCAAAAATATTTGTCTTACTTATAATATTATCTATGGTGGCGTTTAAATCAATTAACGCACACACTCAACATAGCCCCGCCTGGAGAAACCTTGTGTCGCGTGTGCCATGGACACACTATATAGAGAACCAATTTACACTCAAACTCACGAAAGAAGTAAATGTAGGCCGTACAAATGTTTCTCCCGGCCCGGTAATCGAACCTGAGAACTCTGCGTGACAGTCCGGCATGGTAACCGTTCGGCTATAGAGGCAGTTTATAGAATATCATATTGGCGAAATATCCTGGAGGCCTACCATAACCTTTTCAAAACAATCTTATTTCATTGTAAGCTTAAAGTAAGCTTATTGTAATATTACTCATATTTGTACCATGACGAACCAGTAACCAAGTAATGTGTTATTGCAAAAGTGATTGAAAGAACGAATGATTTCCCAATATTGTTTTTCCTTACTAAAAATAGGTAAGAGATAACGCTATGTGAACTATATAATACCATCTCTTTCTTTTTTGATGTTCCGAATCGTCTTATCGTAGAATAATGTTTAAGTACTAAATGTTATTTACATACAGAGAATTTTAACTGTTATTAAAAGAACAGTAGTAATAATAAAATCTATTAAAATTACGTAGTTTTCAATAATAATTCCGCATTTTCATGAAGAAAAATAAATAAAACAAGCTAGTCTTGATAGTCACGTTGTGAGTTCGGAACTATAGTCTAGTGTCAACTGTTAGTTTCGCCAAGGAGCATATAGATGGCGCTGTTATAATTTTACGAAATAAACATCGCGTATTGTTATTTAACTAAAAATTATTTACTATGTGCTATTAAATTAAAAATAAACAAAATATTGAAGAGATATTTGTATATAAACAAGTTCAACGTAACTTTTAATAATTACAAATCAATATTTAAGACAATAAAACTGAAAATAATATTGTTTCCATTGCATCCGAGTAACTATTTTAAGATTGCTAAATTTGACATAAGAGCAATATTACTTTAATGTTAAAGTCGCGTCATAGTACGAACTGAGTGAATGAATAGTCACAAAGCTGCCAATAAAACATCATAGTTTTAACATTACAATAAGCTCACTTTAAGCGCGTTATTGTACGAAAAGTCAGTGTAAGGTTAAAGTAATATTGTTTTAAAGGTTGTGGTACGTCCCCTGATATTCAATAGAGTTAATTATTATTATTAAAGCGACAGCTGAGTGAAGAAATAGATTTCTCACAGGTAGCGCTACGGCAAAAAAGTCGTTAAAAAACAAAATAAAGATCTGCAACAAGCACATACAAAAATTCGTAAGGTCCGTTGGTTCGCTCCGCTTAAGTTGGCAAGACGACGATGGTTCGAATCCAGCTGGATCGAAGTAAAAATATACCTACTTATGTATATATTTCAATAAGAAAGAAGATATCCATAATATTAACTTTAGAGCTAAGTCCAAACTCATGCTACCACGATTTTGTTTAACCAAGGTAAACGACTCTTACATGGGGAACTGTATACGTTTTTACAATAAGATCCCGGAGCATATATTGAGATTTCATAAGTTTAAAAACTATATTAAGAATATTTTGATTGAAAAGTCATATTACAAAATTGAAGGCTACGTGTTAGATAAAGATGTATGGAAAGATGACATGGCTCCAGATTCCACACAAATTTGATTCAAAATGTATTCCATAGCATTTAAGTTTATTTGAAAAGAGCAATTCCTAGAGTTTCCCGCTCGTTCTTCTCAAGGAAGTCAGTGTAGCGAACGAGCGAAGTAGCTTAATTGTGACGTTTTCAAGTGTAAATTTATTTTACTTAAGGAATAAATGATTCGTTGACTTTGACTTTGAAGGAAATTGTAAAAGTGTTCGATCTTCATATTAATAACTCTAATTAATACTTTATAAGTTTCAGAAATAGATAGCTTTTTTATAATGCTTGTCGAGACAAAACACAACTAACACAAATCAAAATAAAATCTTGCAGCCGTAGCTAATTCCGTACACACGCGGACAATAAAGTTGGGACTAACGCAATAACCAGGGCTGACCCTAGTAACGCGACGGTATGTTATATATTGTCGAAAAATTATCGATATTTCATACATCGATATTTTTTGTTCAAAGGTATCGTTTTCGTCCGATCTTTTTCATCAGAAAAAATAGAAAAGGCCTGATGGTTTTAAGATTCATGTGATTATATTATAATAGCCAATAGTAAATTAGGTGGTTAATGCAAAAAGCGTATAAAAGTAATTATAAAACCAGTAACGTACAATAAATTCTTATAGTTACACGATATCGTTTATTACAACACAGGTAATACAAAGAAAGACTTCTGCCGGTATTTTCAGCAATCCAATTTTGTTAATATACAAGTTCTTCAAATTCGCTCGTTTTATGAGTAAAAATATTTACACTTTGATAATTGCAAATTTAACCTATTTGCCCACTTGGTGTAATAAGGTCACATATGAAAAATGACAACTTTTCAGGAAACAGTAGGGCTAGCGCGACAAGATGCTACTTGCGTGACAGCGACATAAAGCGCGAAATCTCTGTGCGAGAATAGCTGCATCTCGCGCTAGTCGCACACTGTCACGGTTTAAAAATATTATGAACGAAATAAGTCGATAACATTTTTATGCTTCACATATACATAATTTTTTACTCGTACTTCGTATTATTTTTATGGCTTTCATGATAAAAAAGCAATTATGACGTAACATATGCGCATACGACTTTATTATACCAACGGTACGTATTGTCACATGATGATTCTATTCACGTGATGTCGATTTATATAAAATGTTCAACATCACTAACGATAACTATGTTATAGGGCAATGTGGGTCTTAGAGGCCCGCATGGAGCCAAAGGGGAAAGGGGCCAACCCGGACGCGACGGCTCTCCAGGTTTACCCGGCGCCCACGGTCGTCCAGCTGAAAAGGGCGAGAAAGGTAAGAAATGTACTCAGCCATCAAATTTTATGTTTCGCTATGACCCTTATTTATGCACGAGAAACACGTTTGCAAGATTTTAGGGCTTCATAGTAACGATTTGGAAAATCTTTATTTCTTCTCGACCCTTCTGGGTACAGTTGCGTAAGGTATGGCGCATATTACATTATTAGTTTAGTTTCCTTTTACGATAGGACTTTTTTACTTTGCTATACTAAAAAAGTAGTTTTGATCTTATGATTGTTTTAGGTCAAAATATATGGGAACTTGAACGTTCCCTTAGGAGAGACTGTTGTTTCTCTCGTTTGACGTAAGGTTTTATTTCATAATACTAAAGGTAGGCCATTGCTTTTTGCACTTTTAAACATTATGGACAGTGTTATTTATGTTACATTATATACCGTGTAAATATGTACACTTTAAGAATTTTTATACATTGGTTGGTTCATTCAGGAACCATGTTTAATAATATTGATGGTTAACACGTCCTCGTACTTTATAGGCACAAGAGGCCCTCCAGGTCTTCCAGGTCCCGCGGGCTCAGCGATATCTGAAAATTCCGTATTGGGAGATATAGCAAGAAGTGGTAAGTTTGCATATTTTTAATTACTTGTATAGTATAATCTATTTCAAGACGAAGTATAATATGAATTCACTGAAATTTAAAGAAACCTGGTCGTAAATTTTGCTTCATGTCATGTGATTGGATGTTTTTTTTACCCGAACATATACAATCCTGTAAACAAGTTAAAATAAAAGTCTATAAAACCTCAAAATCAATATACAAATGTCAAGCATTTGACAACGAAGTTAAGGATTCGTCATTACGAATCCGGACACTGAAGCAATTAAATTATAGTACATTTTAATAGTCAACTTTTCAACAAATGACTTGTTTAGTTGTTTCTATATAGCATATGATTTTTCTCAGGCCTTAATACCTGCGGAAAATTATTGTAAATTATTGACGCCATTATATAAATATTTTTATGGAATGAAAGTAGTTATAAAAGCTTTCAAATGAAGTTGGTAACAAAGTCTTGGCTTTAGAGTTTATTTGAACAAGTATGGGTGCATTTGGACGTATATGGTAGTTTCGTAGATGTAAAGTGAAGGAACAAGAAAAGGTAGAAGGAATTCAGTAACCGAAGATCTTCACAATACTGTTTGCGTTTGCATTTGCAATTGTACTAACATTGTTTATGAGTTTTTCTTTTGTAACTTTACCCTTATATTTGGGTTTCACCCTGAAATAAATAATGTATTATTATTTTCGAAAATTTTTGGATTATAATGAAGAAGTTAACTCCATGTTCATTTACCAAAGTTGCTGTGTTTCATCTGTTTAGGAGTTTAGCTTCAAAACATACATATATCAATGATGTCACTAGATTTCTGGAAATGTCCACGACAAAGTCGAGTCTCCGCTAACGTTTTGAATATTATACATTCTGTGCCCAAAACAATTTAATAAACTTAGTCTCCATAACTAGTGTCCTCATATTCGTCATTCATGGATTTGTATTTTTTTTTCTTAATGAATGACTAGTGACTAGACTAGACTAATTCTGCCAGTGTTGGTTACTACATGTTCGTTTCATAAAGATCATGGAGGAGATCATGGAGTGTATATAGCAAATTTGTTCGATGACTCAGACGGAGTATCGAAGAAATTTGTTGTTGATTGAAAGACTGTTGTGTACAAAGGATGTCATAACTTTTTGTTGGTGAAAAAATTTGAATTATTTTTTGCATTTCACCTAAGTCTTGTCTTACCCTGTAAATTGCTCTTTAATTATTTCATAAATACACAATGTAATAAAGGTATATACTAATGCAATATGTTCAAACGAAACCAACAGACCAAAAGTTTAAAGTAGGCACTGAAATTTAATTACATAAATAACAAAGTTACAAATTGAATTCGAACTTGACTTGTTCTTGTTTAACGATGTCATTGTGGACGGTGTAAATAGTAAATGACAATGATGTTCAAAAATTAATAGACAAGTCACTCAACGAAATTATAACATTTTTCTAATGGGGCTGACATGTTCAATAATTATCAAGACCCCTAAATAAATAAAGAGAAAACAAAATCTAATACAGAAAAATTTATATGCAAAGACACACACAGACTCGTCAAAAATATCCATATGTTACACAATTTACTATTAATTAATAATAATAATAACACTTTTTTTAACCCGACTACAAAAGTTTACTTATCCGTTTCAGCTGTGCTTAATTTCCATTAGAATTAAATCTATTTGCCACATTTTATTGAAATTTGAATTGAAATCTCCTACTTGCCACCCTTAGAGGTGGAATATTTGCTACAAGTTTAGATGGGACCACTACTGAGGGGGTACCTGAGTGGTGGTGGCATTCAAACTCACTGAGTCAAAAAAAAATAGAAATACTCTATTTAGATCAGAAATAATTCTAAATTTTTATAAAAAAAAGACTTCAAAAGGTTGTGGAATTACATCTATTATTTCCCAAGTTTTATTGAGATCTGTTAACGAAAAGTGGCAGAAAGTCATAAATTTGCCAACCTAGCGAGGTAGCCCCTTTCCAACAAAAAAGAATCGTCGAAATTGGTTCTCAAATATCGACTTATCGCGTAACATACACATAAAAAAACAAGAAGTTGTCTTGCAGTCGAGATAAAGTCGTATATAAACCACTCATTGTAGTTTTTATTAACAAAACAAAATGGCGTCAAATTGAAAAAACCACCATACAAACTTCCCTTACATTCTATTATTTACTCGTATGTAGGAGCTACACATATAATATTAAATTGCTTTTAATACGCGTAGCGTACATTATTTCCTTCAAATGACACGGACCGGTTTGTAACTTCCCTTTTCCTAAAACTCGGTTCTTCGAACAAAATTTTGTAACATCATTTTCAAGATTATCTAATAATAGATTTTAATTCATGCTTTAGTGAGTTTCTGCCTGTAAATTAGTACAATTTTATCAATAGTAACACTTTACAGTGATTATTTTAAATTAAGAGGGTAGCATAGAATGTTCTACGAAAATAGAATCATAGTAATATACTGCTATACTAGTTAATTTTTAAGTTGACTACTAACAGATATTAAACAATTTATTCAGAACTAAATCGCGTATATAATTTGTTATTTTTTCAAACTAACCATGAAACATTGGTCATCCAGCCCTTTAGAGCATTTGTGCACTACGTCGTTCCGAAATGTCATAGGGATCATCTTATCTGTAGGTGTACAAGCGATATTCGTATTTTGTCGGGTTCGAATCGGCCTTAGTGCACAAGCGACATCCGAAGTGGGTGCAGTTTTCTAGATTTATATAGGGATCGGATCCAGTGGAAACGTGCTTACAAGTCCCTTGGTTTGACAGAGCATTAATGCAAATCACCTCAGTTGTTAAAACAGGTAGAACTCCTAGTGAACAAGTTGTTCTGGGAAGTACTGCCACCTATTTCTGCCACCAAGCAGCAATGTGAGCATTACTGCGTTTCGGTTTTGAAGGGACAGGGAAAGGGTCCTGTTGAATTTACAGACACATGAAATCTTGTCAACTTATGTCACTGGGTGACGGGCGCGATGACAGTGCCATTCAGATCTTTGCGATTTAAACGTTTTCAGATCATTGGTTCATCTTTATATTTAGAATATATTTTATTATGATATAGATATGATATGATATAGGGTAGAGACGGGGATACTTCGATTGTTTAGACATGTAGAAAAAAAATTATTCGGTAGACTGACAGCATAAATTTGTAGAATGTGGATTTAAGCGTGGGGAGAGGCAGATCTCGGCGGACATATCTCAGTCAGATTGGGGATGTCCTTAAAATAGTCTGGTTAAAAATACCAAGAATAAACGGGCGGGCGGGAATGGGAGTGAAGACGAAGAAGGTTTGCAATTGTATGATTCCTCTTTCATAAAAAATGCTGTCTTTACGTATAAAATACGGCTCTAAGTGTCGTTTGGTCTTTTTGTAATCAAAGAGCCATTCTACACGATGCGTTGCGTCAGCGATGCGACTCCTAAACGGTGATACTGTCATATGTAGTACAAGCATATAAATTAAGTACATAGTACATTGACCGGAGTGTGACGACGGACAAGGGGTAAGGAGACGAAGCGGGGAAGGGTGCTGCGTTGCGATTGTAAGCGGTGATAACGCTGCGACACTGCATTGCTCGTGTACCTCTCAGTGCGATAAAATCATAGCGTTGCTACGACGCAACGCACCGGCAACGTCCATATGACATCGCTCAAAATCGTATCCATTCAAATAATCTCAGTACGGAGTACTAAAAAAACCGATCTCAAAAGTACGTGGAATTACGTCTATTTGCTAAGTTTTATTGAAATATCCCCTATATCCAAATAATCTCAGTACGGAGTACTAAAAAAACCGATCTCAAAAGTACGTGGAATTACGTCTATTTGCTAAGTTTTATTGAAATATCCCCTATATCCCTATATATATATCCCCTAAATATCCCCTATAAATATCCCCTGTATAGTTCGCGACTATACAGGACTTGACACTGGAGATAATAAAAATAGGTTCTCACTTCGACACTACTCAAAGTACATCGAGAGAAAAACGCCTTGAATTGGAGAAATAGCAAAATCAACCATTAAAGCTCCTAAATTAAAGTTAGGCGCTATTTATAAAAATTAATCTTCATGCGTGAACAGCCACTCTTCGAGGTGGATGATTTTCTTCAAAATGAAATGGGACCACTATAAAAGTACCCCCTTTCCGGCAAAAAAAGAATCGTAAAAATCGGTTCACAAATACCGGAGTTATCGCGTAACATACATACAAAAAAAAGAACATACAGTCGAATTGAGAACCTCCTCCTTTTTTGAAGTCGGTTAAAAAAATTGTAAAGAATAAGAGAAAATCTAAAGGGCATATGTAGATCAAAGTCAAAGTCAAATAATTTATTCTCCCCAAAACAACACAGTACATTTGCCCTTATGTAAGTCAAATTACAGAAAATACAGACTTAAATTATACAGGTATACATAATAATAGTCTGTCTGAATAAGAAGAGTCTTAACATCATGATTTTTTAAGAAAATGAATATTCATTTAGATTTGAATTCATAAATTCGTTGATTTTGTAAAAAGCTTGATTTTCAAAGTGAAGTTTTAGTGTTTGCTTGAATGCAGCCATTTTCACGTCGACGCGAAGACGATGGATGAGGTAATACATTTCAACATGACTGCAATAGTTTTTGACGGCTTTGTGAGGATGTGTGTGTTTTAGCATTATGATGATGAAATTAGGTGACTTTATAATACACTAATTGTGGATATTTTTTCATAAATTATAAACTTAAAACTTTCCCGCCTATTCTTAAAATGCCCGCTAAAATTTTATATTGCTTAAAGTTAACTAATCGCAGAAATCGCACTGACTTTTTGCTCGACCCATTACATTATAATTATAATGTTGCACTTGTACCCCAATATGATACATAGATTATTTACAATCTCTGTGTACCATCCACAATAACCCTTTCCTCCTTCCCTTCCTCCATTCGCACCAGTCTACTAGTATT